CCTCCTCCTCCTCCTCCTCCTCCTCCTCCTCCTCCTCCTCCTCCTCCTCCATTCCGACATTCACTCCATCTTTCGCGATTCTTTCGCACCTCACTCCTCCATTTCTTCATTGTCGTGTCTGCCCCGGGTGATTCTCCCCTGCCTGAGTCGCACCTCTTGATCATCCTTGCGACACAAACCTCCTATATCTCCGCAGGCCCTGATTCTCTGAGGGCATACCACATGTCAAAGAACGGCTGACCCGATCTTACCTCTCACGTATTCTCCTCAGTTACTATTCCTTCCCCAATTCCCCAGCCTCCCCCGCCACCTCCTCTGCCACCTCCCGCGCCACCTCCTCCCCCTCTACGCTGCACCTCACTCTCAGACTGCAGTCCTCGGAAAATTCCCCTCTGCCTCAAGAAAGCCCGCGAGCCGCCCGCCGCCTGCCAGGAAACCCCCATGAAACCCTAGCAGCGCCACGTTGACAGCGATCCCTCAGCCAAACGGCAAAGATGATGCTGTGTGGGCCGGCGGAATAAGCGAGGCGATTGAATAGATAGACACAAACCACAGGATCCCCAACCCGTTCCATGTGCTCTGGATCTTCGTCTTCCCCTCCGTTTCCCTCATTACCCGTCCTGTCCTAGGAATCAACGATTCTCTGACTCTGTGTGTGTGTTCCATTCTGAGTGCACGCAGGCTGCACGGTTTAGGACGAGGGGGGGGCATTAAGTCGGGCCTGCCCCTCTACAGGAGGAAAATTCGAAAATGGTCAAAAAATAGGCTGGGGACTATTTTTCGATTATTTTTGAACATTTGGGGAGCATTTTTTGCGTATGGTTTACTGTCCCGTCCAAAATCCCCCCGTGGGGGGACAGGCCCAACCTAAGGGTGGCGAGCCGGCTCACGCACAGCTGGCTCGCCGACCCCTCCTGGCGCTGGAGGCTCCGGCGGAATCGACGGAGAGGCCCGCCGGCGGGGCCGACGCTCGCTGCATGCAGCAGATCTCGCAGCCGCCCCCTTTCGGCTGCACGCAGGAGTGACCCTGGGTGAGAGTGAGCTTCGGTGCGCGGCTTTTTGGGGGGCCGCGGGGAGGCCAAACCTGGGCGGGCGCGCAGGCCGCTGCGACTGCCTCGTTCTCAGCCATCTGGGGGCCCACCTGTGCCCGCACCCAAGGTCACTCCGGCGAAGGGTCACTTCTAGTCGACCCTTTCCCTGCCGCGCCGAGTGATCGAGGACGCCGGCGGCGCATCACCGGCCGCTCCCTGGAAGTTCGCCGAAGTGGTGCGCAGCATCGAAAGTCGTGGCGCGGCGGCGCGGCGCGTATGCCAGCTATCAAGTGGCCGTCGCTCCATCCCGCCACCGTGCTTGGGTTTTGGGTCGGAGTCCTCATGGACGCTTCTTGGGGTCTCTCGAGAGGGCTCTCGGGGGCCTCTGCGGGGGAGTTGAGGGGCCTCTTGGGGGCCTCCGCGCCGAGTGATCCTCTTGGGAGGAGGAGGAGGAGGAGGAGGAGGAGGAGGAGGAGGAGGAGGAGGAGGAGGAGGAGGAAAGGAGGAGGAGAGGAGGAGGAGGGGGAGGAGGATGAGGAGGAGGAGGGAGGAGGAGGGAGGAGGAGGAGGAGGAGGAAGGAGGAGTGGAGGGAGGAGGCTCGTCGTCTCTGGCGTCGTCGTGCCTCGGGCCTGCGGCGGCGGCCGATCGGGACGGTCCGGCAACCGCCTGGGAACGCTCTCGGCAGGGCGCAGTGCAGGAGGAGGAGGAGGAGGAGGAGGAGGGGAGGAGGAGGAGGAGGAGGAGGAGGAGGAGGAGGAGGAGGAGAGGAGGGAGAGGAAGGGAGGAGAGGAGGAGAGGAGAGGAGGAGGAGGAGGCGGAGGAGGAGGAGGCGGAGGAGCGAGGCCAGAAAGATGCCGAGAGCCGACGGAAACCACCGAAGGCCTCGAACCTGGAGCCCCTCTCGTGCGGTCCGATTTGGGACCTCCTGCCCAGCGAGGAGCTGGCGTGTCTGAGCCTTAGATGTTCTAAACATCGGGGATCTTCTGACCCGGGTCAATCCAGACCCGGGTCAGTCAGGCCTTGCAAAATCCTTGAAGATTCTGCACCCGAACCCGGGCCAATGCGAAGGATCCTGCAAGATCCTGCAGGATCCTGCACCCGAGCCCGGGTCAATGCGATCGATCCTGCAGGATCCTGCACCCGAGCCGGGGTCAATGCGATCCTGGCCCTGCAGGATCCTGCAAGATCGGGTGCTCTGGCTGACCCCCGTTTGCATTGACCCCCGTCTCAGGGCCCCCGAAAACGCTGGGAGCGTTTTATTCCGCGTTCAAGATCGACGTTTTCCAGTTTTCGGGAAGTCTTTGCTCTGTTATGGGATTGCCATCTCGCCGTTTTTGTTCCGTTTTGCGATCCGTGTTCTAATTGTTTGTAGCTGCAGTTGTTGTTCCTGTCTTCTGTCTCTGTCAATTGTTGTCTGTTCTGGGCTGTTGTCTTTGTTTCTGGTTTGGGTTGCCGCTGTTCACCCGCCGCTGTCGTCTGTGTTCTGTTTAGGCCCGGCCCGGCCGCTGTCGTCTTTGTTCTG